CTGTTCAGCTGCTACAGCAAGCCCCATAGTCCAGACCAAAGAAGATTGGAGTGACTTGTGCCAGGTACCACATTAACATAATTCAGTTTTGAGTTCATTTTCATACTTTTCAAAAACACACAAGGCATTCAAGGCCAACAATAGAAGTAGATGCCAGATCGAGCTGAGACGACATGCGTCTTGGATTTCCATTGCTGTGATAATGCACCATTACCAAAAGCAGCTTGGGAAGGAAAGGCTCCATTTTATCTTGCACTTCCACATCTTAGTCCATCACTGAAGGAAGCAGGGCAGGAACTCACGGCAAGGACCTGGAGGCAGGAACTGAAGCGGAAGTCATGGAAAAACACGGCTTACCGGCTCGTTCCTCATGGATTTCTCAGCTGGTTTCTTTCAGCACCCGGGACCACCAGCTCAGGGGTGGTAGTGCCCACAGTGAGCTGTGGTCTCCCACATCACCAGTTAAGAAAAGGTACCATAGGCTGCCCCGCAGGCCAGTCTGGATGGGGCATTTTCTCAGTTGAGGTTTCTTCTTCTAAAAGGATTCTAGCTTGTTGTAAGTTGACATAAAAACTAGTCAGCACAACACGATTTTAAAAAGTCCCCCTGCCTCCACCTACACAAAGAAAGTCACTTGCAGGCCTAGGGCTGCCGCTGTTGACAGAGTGTTCCTGGGTGATTTAAATGCAGTCAAGTTGTCAACAGAGATTAACTACCAAACCGACTAACACCCAATCTCCAGGAAAAAAAACCAGGAAGAAATGTTTTTAATGAAAACTATTTTATAAGAGAATATGTGTTTGGAGGGAGGAGAGACAGAGAGACAGAGAGAGATAGAGACAGACAGACAGAGACAGACAGAGACATAGAGACAGAGAAACAGAGAGGCTTGTCTGCAAAACTGCAGAACATCGGGCTCAGAACTCTCCTGGCCCCGGGGAGGAGTGTGTTGTGTGAGGGATGGTCACCAGAGCCAGAGATGAATTAGTTGTCAGATACCATGTGTTCTCATTCATGTTCTGAGAGCTGCTAACTTCCCGAGGGAGGTAACTGTCTGCCTCTTCCCTGCAAAGAAGAAAGAAATGGGACTTTCCAATGCAATCCCAGGCCCTCTGACTTGCTACTGGGAGTCCCACCGACCAAAGCCGCCCCGGGTCCGGGGCCAGGACAAAGGTATTACCCTGCTGGCTTGTTCAGGTCAGTGCTCAGGGCAGAGGCGGGAGGTGGCTCTTCAGGGGCACTCTGGTGAGAACAAGAGGCTTGAGAAACTTTGCTTATCTGTGTCCTGGGCCCCAGCTTCCAATATCTGCATACGCCAGACCCAGCAGGCAAGAGCTGAGCCTCCAGGCCTTACTAGTCCCAGACAGGGGAGTGTTTCCTAGTACCTCAACAGCCTTCTTCTTTTGGAGCCAGAAAAAGTAACCACTGGGCAAGAAAAAGGGCGAGAGACAGGTCAGTGAAAGAGTGGGGGTGTGTCCTCAGGGGCAAGGAAGCTAAGAGGAGCCACTCACCCAATGCCAGCCACAGCCAGGAACATCAGGATGCTGATAAGGATCACAACCCACTTGTAGGACCGAGTGACACTGACTGGGGTGGGAAAGGAGGAGCCAGGTGTTCGGAGGCTGAGGTGAGGCACTTGAGGTTATAAAAGGGTGTGTCCCGGACAGATTTGCCCTTCAACAGAGTGCTTTCTGTCTCTGGGGCCCGCCAAGACTGCAGGACTAGGAAGCAGCAGGTAAAGGGTGCTGCAGCTGAGAGATGTGAGGGAGGCCTGAGGAGGAGTCGGGGTGGGTGAGTGCTTGCCTGGGGAGCACAAGGACCTGAGTGCCATCCCTGGCAGGATGCCCCTGTTATCGTAGAGCTGGGGAGGAGGTGTCAGGCAGATTCCTGAATCTCACTGGCCAGCTGGCCTAGTGTATTTGGTGAGTTTCAGGCCAATGAGAGACTGTGTCTCAAAAAGAAGATGGGGAGTTAGGGAGGTGGTTCCCAGGCAAAATGCTTGCCAGCCACTCAAGTCCAAAGGCTGGCGCTGAGGTACCCAGCATCTAGGTCAAAGTCAGATGCGGTAATCTCTGTGTGTGTGTGTCTGTGTGTGTGTGATCTCTTCATTCCTGTGGGGGGAGATGGATGGGAAGAGGATCCCCAAAACTGTGGGACATCAGGCTTGGATTAGCAGTGGTGAACAAGAGAGCTTGTGTTTCTAAGAAGGTGGCAAGCAAGGACAGATGCTGGAGGCTGATCTCTGATTGCCGTACTCACACTGTGACGCACATATCTCTACACAGACACACCTGCACTCACAGATGCAGACACAGAGAGGGGGGAGAGAGAGAAGGAGAGAGAGGAAGAGAGAGAGGAAGAGAGGGAGGGAGGGAGGGAGGGAGAGAGAGAGAGAGGAGAGAGAGAGAAGAGAGAGGTGGACGCTGGCATGAATTATAGCGTCACACTGAAGAGTCATTCCCCCAGGCTTAGCTGAGGCACAGGGAGAAAGGGTCGGAGGAGGCTCCTGGCTTAGGGTTGTGGGGTCTCAGTGAGGACAGTTACTGAGAAGGACCCTGAAGGCAGAGCCAGTGGTAGATGGGACGGGAGTGTTCCAGGTGTGCTGAATCTGAAGACCCAGAAGCAGTGGCTCTCAGCCTCTAAAGCCAGGCAAAAGGACCTTAAAAACATCCTCAAAGATTCTCTTGTCCTTCACCCAACAGGAAAGGAAAATCCAGGAACATTCTAGCTAGGATAGAAAATAACGGACAGATGGGAAACCCAGGGGTGGAGGGTTTGGGAAAGGGAGGATGGATGGAGTGTAGTCCAGTGAGTGGGGCAAAGGCCACTGACCTACGCAGAAGGTGGGGTCATTGCAGGACAGGAAGTGCGTCTGGCAGTCAGCACACACAGCGATTTCCACTGGGGACAGGAGGTCTGTGGGAGCGAGTGATGCACAGGGGCCTCAGACATGGCGGGACCTCTCGTCCCTTCCTCCAGCTCAGCCCTGGGCATACTCACCACAGGAGTCATTGCACGCTGTCCAGGAAAGTGAGATGGTGGAGAAACTGAGGCACTAGAGAGGCAAACAGAGCTGGGAGTGGTGGGGAGTGGGAGCAGGACATGGGACTAGGAGACTCCTGGAAGGAGCCTAACCTGTGGGTAGGACAGAGCTCCTGGGGAGATCTTAGGAGGGACTGCCCTTTGGGTTCTACAGTCCGTGGTCCAAGGGTGATGGGTGGGGGGTGATAGGGACAGCCCCATCTCCTACCCCTCTGCTTTAGCTCCTGGGACCTCTCTTTCAGCTTCTCAGACAGAAGACCCTTCTGAACATTGATCTCTTCCAGAAGTGCCGACTTATCTGGGTGTGGCAGAAAGGAACGAAATTCACTGACATGAAATTAGTCTTTGGTGCGCAGGTGCACATATGCGTACGGGTACGCATGCGTGTGAGTGTGGATGCTGGCTGGCACTCTGGAGTGTTTCTCTTCAGGAACCACCCACCTTATTTTTGAGACAGGGTCTCTTACTGGCCTGGAACTCTATTCTGCCTGTCAAATGAGCCCAAGAGATCCTCCTGCCTCTGCCTCCTCAGCACTGGGCTGACAGGCACAACCACTGTACATTTTTTTAAAATGTGGGTTCTGGGAATTGAATTCAGGTCTTTGTGCTTAAAGGCAAATCTTTTAATGATCGAGCCTTCTCTCTGTTTTTATTTTAAAAAATGTGTAAGTGTATGTGTGTGTGAGTGTATGTGTGTGTGAGTGTATATGTGTGTGAATGTATGTGTGTATGTGTGTGAGTGTGTGTGTGTGTGAGTGTATGTGTGTGTGAGTGTATGTGAGTGTATGTGTGTGTGAGTGTATGTGTGTATGTGTGAGTGTACGTGTGAGTGTATGTATGTATGTGTATACACGTGCGTGCGTGCGTGCGTGCGTGCGTGCGTGCGTGTGTGTGTGTGTGTGTGTGTGTAGAGATGAGAGAGGCATATGAGTATATACCTGCCTGTGTGTTCCTCTGAGTGCAGGTATGCACGTCACAGCATGCGTGTGGATGCCAGAGGACACCTTGGATGACAGTCCTCACTGGTGTCTTGTTTCCTGAGGCAGGGTTTCTCATGGTTTGCTGCTGTGTATATGCAGCTAGCTGACCTAGGAGCTTCTGTCTCTACCTCCTGTCTCCCTTTAGGAGCACCAGGATTACAGACATGTATTACCGCACCCAGCTTTCCCAGGCTGGGGCCTGGGGATCCGAACTCAGACACTCATGCTTGTGGGTTAGCGATGTATCTCCTGAACCTTCTTCCCAGTCTCCTTTGACCCTCGGACTCAGTCTCATGCATCCCAGACTTAGCACCATGCAGCAAGATGGTCTTGAATTTATGGTCCTCTTGTCTTCACCTCCTAAGTGCTAGAATTATAGGGCTGGACCTCCATAGAATGCACAGTGACACAATGTGCTCTTCAAGAAAGCTTCCCCGCCCACTACCACAAGAGCCTCCCGGGAATGCTGTTTAGGTCAGGTCTTGGTAACCCAACTCAATCCCTGGGGTCCTGGACATTTGTTCTCCTTACCATCCCTCAGCTTCTTAATGGCTTGGTCTACATGGGTGAAGAAAGTAGCTGTTTCCTCTTCCAAATGGTCTTGAGCTGGGAATGGGACGTGGGACAGAGAGATGTTGGGAACCGGATCAGGTCAGGTGAAAGGGGTGCTCCCCTCCCTGCCCAGCTGTGCCTCACCAAGATACCAGGGCATGAACAAGGCGTTGTCCTCCAGGAAAAAGGAGTGTAGGCTTTGTGAGAGTTCTGTGGGCGGCCCTGGGCTGCCCCAGAGCACCTGCAGGTCGTAGTCCAGCAGGGTGGGCAGCTCTGGCCAGCATCGGAGGCAGCTCTTCCCACTGGTCACTGGCAGCAGGCACATCAGCAAAACACGAAGCATCTTCTGGAGCCTTTCCCATGTATTCACGGTCCCGTGTGGAACACGGTTGTCCTGGGAACGGTAGAACAAAGGGAAATTCCATGGCCACAGCAAGGGTCGCTTGAAGTGAACCCGGGCTGAGGCATCACAGCCAGCAGGGAGGGAGAACAGGGACTGAGGAAAAGTAATATCAACATCAACATATGAAAGAAGCCAGTTGGCTCGTGAATGGTCTGAGCTTCCGGGTTGTGGGGAGGGACTTGGGGATGTATTGTCTACTTGGGTAAAAACTTGAGGGGAGTTATTATGGCATTGACATACAGACAGGCAGACAAATGGCAGTACAGCCCAGGAGGTGGGGTGTCTTAGAGGAAGGGGGAAGGTTTCACAGCATAATGGGAGGGATTTCTGGGGTACAACTGTATGACTATGGGAATACAAGGGAGGTGAAGAGGAGGGTCACAGGTAGGTGAGGTGCAGTCACCACAGGGGTAGGATGTGTGGCCTCTGGTGTCTCCCACCCCTGCACTGGTATTCTGGAGTCCGGCAACCTGATCTGGAAACTTCCTTGGGCAAGTGAGAACAGCTCCTATCATTTTGGGATCTGGACACTAGAAGAGTCTGTTTATACGCTCATGGGCAGGCTCTCAGTAACGGGCTGGCCAAATGCTCTACCTTAACGGTAAGGAGAGGCATTGCCTGATCAGCCTGTCGCCTCAACTATACCAGGGAGAGAAAGACGGAAAACGCTTCCTCACCAGAGCTACATGTAACACGCTTGAGAAAACCTCACGCCATGGAAACGAGAGAGTGCTGTAGAAATGACCTAAAAGGTAACAAGCGCCATAACCCAGTGCTTTTTGATGGCGTGCCTTCTACCCGGCTCACTAGCTCACTCCCATCATCATGAGTGCTTTCCTTTTCTTAACTAGTTGCCTCTAGTTCTGTGTTTACATATGTATTCCTGATGCAGTCCTTTGCCCTGGGACACAAGAACATGGACTTCAGTGGGTGGTCTTCAAACCGAGGTCCATCCCTATAAATACCAAGCAAGCCTCCGATGAATCTCTTGCCTCAGAATGGGCCACTAGTGTTTGGCAGGGAGGATTCTCTGATGCTTCCTGTGTTAACGTGAACATGAGGATGATGTTTCCAACATATGAACTCCGAGAGGCACATTCAAAACGGAAATTCGGCACTCAAATTCTGACGTCATGTCTGTCTCACATTCTGAGTGCCGTCTGTCTCTTGGAAGTTTCTCCACTAAAGCAAATCAGATTGATAGCTGGGTCATCGTCCGCATTGGCATTTGAAATCCTTCTACTTTCCCTCTGTGCCAACTGTTTGTCTCATGGTGGAAACGAAGCACCGGACAAAAACAGCCTATGGGAGGAAGGTCCATGCCCGCTCACAGTTGGAGAGGACACCGTCCCTCACGGTGGGGATGGCATGGTGGCAAGAGCTTCATTGAGGCAGCTGTCCCATTGCATCCACATCCAGGAAGCAGAATGTTGGTGCTGGACTCTCTTCAGTCAATCCAGGACCCCAGCGCATTGTCTGGTGCTGCCCACATTCAAGGGGGCGGGGGTCTTCCCACCTCAGTAAACCTGATAAAGTCCCTCCCAGACATGCTCAGAGGATTGTTTCCATGGTAACTCCCCCCAAGTACAGATTCCCTCATGCACGAGTCCTCAGTTCTTGAGCAACTGCGGGGAGCCGTGTGGCCTAGTTTTGGACCAGTCTATGAGTGCTTGTCCAACGGGTCTCCAGATGAGGCAAAAGCCCACGGGGACAGCCTCACTCGGCAAGGACCAGTGGACTCCGGGACGGCGCGCACGGAATACTGCTGGGACTGCATGGCCTGCATGCTCTCTTCTCTCTTAACATTGATGATTCTCTTGGTGGTTTTAGTGTCTTGTCAATCATGCACAGGATAGATGTCATCATTCTGGAAACCCCATTGTTTCCTCAATATTTTCCCTTGCAATTGTTTGGGAGGTGATGCTTCTCAGGTTTCTTGTCTGGGGATGCCTGCTGTCACTTCAGATCCTGGGAGCTGTTCTGATTCAGTGCTGACAGGATCCGAGGTAGCTCACCCCTATCTCTGCAAAGATGTTTTGAATGAGATTGTTGCTCCTGAAAATGTGTGCCTATGTGAATCACCTTTTAGTTTTGTAAAGACTTAGTTTTGGCTCGATATTTGGCCAAGATAGCAAAATGGTAAGTATTGTTCTGGTTTGAAGATGTTTTGATGTAACAGTTGGGAGAAAACATATTTGTTTTTGCCAGAGGTTGGCGTTGGAGGATGAGAAAAACATGCTTGTTTTTGAATTATAAATACAGCTGGAGCTATTTGGGGCCGGCCACTTGTGTGAAACTCATCTGGTGGTCTGACCATTCATTTCTTCACACCGGTGCCTCCCCCCCATCTCAGGACCTGAACCTAGGCTGGGCAGGACCATGGCAAGCAACAGTTGCTAGAATTCAGTGGTTTGCAACGTTTATTTATTATTATTTCCTAGTGTCTAAAAGTTTGAGTTTGGTTTAGCTGGGCTCTCTGCCCAAAGGATCTCACTAGGCTAAATTTACCAAGCCATCTGGAAGACCTGTAATTATGTCAGATAATCAACTTTTGATTCCACTATCATGGCTTCCATCCATGTATGATTAGATTCATTACTTTGGGTCTTTGTGCAGGGCAGCAGCATCATGGTGAAGTACATGTCATGGTGGAGGAACAACATCCTCACTTCACGAAGGCCAGGAAGAAAGAGAAAACAAAGGGGTAGAGAGACTAGAGTTCCATAATCTTCGGTGGAAACTCATGGTAGCTCAACTTTCTCCCAGCAGGCCCTGTTTCTCAGAGGTACTCGCACCTTCCCAAACCGTCTCCTGAGGAAGGGCTGGGGCTTTGTTTGACACTGGCCTTTTGAGACCCTTTCCCAACTCTGGCACTAGTTGAGGGGGCTGTGGCTGTCGGACTGGAGAGAGGGGTGCTCTCAGCAGCTAGAGATGCTCTCAGTTCCTGCCTCTGGGTCCTTCCATAGTCTTTTATAGTCACTGAACTTATCCCTTCGGGAAGGGATACGTTTGTTTAAAAAGGCCTGCCTAGGACAATCATTGCTTTGGTTACCTCAAAGTTATTTTGATGTTAAATCTTAGCCATGTCTACAGAATCCCTCATCTTTGTATAGCATAGATCTTAATCCCGTGTAAAAACACATCATGCAGTGTGACCTCACACCTGAGTGTTTGCTGATGGTCCTATCTGGATGGGGTGCTTTCAGATTCTTGTTGTCTTGATCAAAGAATTCAAATTCTTTGAAAAAATAATGCAAATTATCAAGGTGCTTGATAAGTATAGGGAAGGTGTGGAGATGATATGTAGCAAGGGAGCTGTAGGCCCTGAGTGAGGATTGTGCGATAGCCCCGGGTTACTTGACCCGTTTCCCCTTAAAAATGTCATCAATTAGCTTTATTAGTTAAAGTAGAAATAATACCTATTAATAAAGTCCCCCCCCCCCCCGCTTATAAGAGTTTATTAGAGTTAAAGGGACAGAGTGCGCAGGCCTGTGGGAGAGACACGTGCGTGGAGAAGAGGAGAAACTGGGAAGCATGGTGCTCCACTTTAAAACTGGCTGGGGGCGTGGCCAGGTCATGTCACTACTCCACGTGTGTGCGTAGATCACATGGTCATGTTGTGCGCTTACGTGGCCATGTAGCGTCACGGATTCTGGTCACTCGAGATGCCTTGGCTGGAACTTGCTAGGCGGAGGTGTCCGGCCTGACCGGAATTGGCTAGGCGGAAGTGTCTGCCTGGTAAATGTGACTGTGTTGTGAACCCTTCATTCCCAACTCTTTTATTTTTTAAAAAAAGAAAAAATTGTGGTTGACTGGGTATGGGGGCGACGTTTCTCTCAAAGACTGCTTCCAGCTGAATAGTGGGCATTGGTTGGCTCTTGGGGGGGATGAGGGGTATCTTGTGAAGTCCGGGAATGATGGTGGAGGTCCTGGAATGACGTTCTGCCGTCCCCTCGTTCTGCAACTGTCCATCCATGCTGTGGCTGGGGACCTCCCATTTAACAAGATACTGTTGACATAGAGAGAGCTTAGAGAGAAAGAATCATTATTATTTCATTTTGGAGTTGGCATTTGTCTGAGGTGGATTTGGCCTGCCCAGATAGAGGCATGTGACATTTACCTGAGGTAGATCTGGTCTTAGTACTCTGCTTAATTTCTATCTGAGACAAGCCTCATTAGAGGTAGTTTATTTAAGGCACCTGTTTCCCTTATTAGGTTAGCGCTTAGGAAACACAGGTGATCAGTTGCTGAGTATTGAACAATGATAAATTGTTGTATTACATTATTCCTTACCGCCTGGATATTTTTGATGGTCCTTTTGCCTCCGGCTCTGTGTGGCCCTAGTTGGAAAAGGAAGGGGTGATGATACCTTATTCCTCTGGAATTGGCGACAAAGCAGTGGATCCTGATGTCCTCTGGAGCTTGAGAGTGAGAGGCCCTGTTTGTTTCACTGTATATGAAGAGAGATTTTTCTGGGATGGAGGCTTGGAAAAAAGACCTGGTGTTAGAACTGGTCTGAGGAGATATTTAACTTTTCCTGATGGTGGGCATATGGGTAAAATTGAGCTGTAGCCCTGGGAGGTGGGAAGCCTCCAGCATGGTCATTATATGGCCTGAGTTAGACACGGATCCTCCTTTTGCTGTGAGAAGTCCACGCTCCCTCCAAATAGCAGTGTGGGACAGGAGGATATGTAAAGCATATTTGGAGTCTGTAGAGTTACTGGCTAGGAGAAGTAAGAGAGCTGCTGGCATGTCTGGGAGGAGGCAAATGTGTGGAGTGAAAAGAAATGGACGCTCCTACCTTAGCTAGGAGATCCCTCCCCATTAATGGTACAGGGCAACTTGGCACCACTAAGAATGTATGTGTGAGAGGGATGCCTCTGAAAATACAATTAAATGGTGGTGTCTGCTGAGGTAGATAAGGCTGTCCCC